TACCCCAAAGGCAATACTAGATTCCTAGTATCCTTTTCGGGTACCTGTCATTATCCCCACCACAAATGAAGAAACTGAGGCTAGGAGGGGTGACGCAGTAGGTGGGCTGGGACTCAAACTCCAATCTTTCTGATCCAGAACCATCTTAATTACTTCCCCCACTGCTTCCAGTACCTGAGTCCCTCTCTACATATTTCCTCATTGAATACCCCCAGCACAGGGCCTGGCATGGAGTAGGTGCTCAGGAGATATGTGTTGAATGAATAAGTGATCTCATATTAATGCTTACAACACAGCTATCAGCCCATTTTGTGGAGGAGGAGACTGCAAGGTCTCACAAGCTGCTGCAGAGATTACAACTCCAGCCTGTCTGAGCCCCGGGCCGAAGTTCCAGATCCTCCACCCTCACCTGGGATCAGCTGATCCTACAGAGTGGTTGCTGCTACTTGCCCAGACAGGCTGACCCACCTGCCCACTGTCTGTGCCCAGCTGTTTATCCAGGAGTCTGGGCCAGTAAAATATTGGACCCAGCAGAGCTGCACTGCCTGGGAGGGTCACAGAAGGACAGGAATGGGCAGCTGGGGCACGGGAGGTCTGTAGCAGAGCATGGGAGTGTGAAGATAGCTAGGCGGAGGAGTGGAGAACATGGGAAGAGCCGAGAACATGGGAGGAGCCAGCTTTGAGAGCCAACAAACTTTGCGTGACCTTGGGAAAGGCACCTCTCATCTCTGAGCCTCTGTGGATTCATCTGGGAAACAGACAACAGTGCAGATGGTTCCCGACATAATTAAAATTTTTCAACTTTACAACTGTGCAAAAGCGATATGCATTCATATCGTACTTTTTTTTTTTTTCCAAGATGACTGGTAAGGGGATCTTAACCCTTGACTTGGTGTTGTCAGCACCACGCTCTTCCAAGTGAGCCACAGGCCGGCTCTCATATCATACTTTTTATCCATCCAACCATTCCGTTTTTCACTTTCAGTACAGTATTCAATACATTACACGAGATACTCATCACTGCATTATAAAATAGGCTGTTTGGGCCGGCCCGGTGGCGCACTGCTACAGTGCACTGCTTGAGAGTGCAGCGGCGCTCCCGCTGAGGGTTCGGATCCCACATACAGACCGGCCACTCACTGGCTGAGCGAGGTGCGGGCGCAACACCGAGGGTTGCGATCCCGTTGCCAGTCCTGGTCCGGTACTGGCGCGACACTGAGGGTTGTGATCCGTTGCCGGTCACGAAAAAAGACAAAAAGGAAAAAAAATAATAATAAAAATAAATAAATAAATAAAATAGGCTGTGTTAGAGGATCTGGCGCAATTGTAGTAAGTGTTCTGGGCATGTATAAGTTAGGCCAGGCTAAGCTATGATGTCCGGTGGGTTAGGTGTATTAAATGCATTTTCAACTTACGATACTTCCTATTTACAAAGTTTACAGTATGTAACCCTATCTCAAGTCAAAGAGCACCTGTAGTAATGTCATGCCATGCTGAGCACTTAAAATGCACCAGGCTCTGAGCTCAGTGTTTGGCACCCACGACTGCCTTCTGGGGTGGATACAGTGGTTTGGACTCATCTACCAGATGAGGAAACTGAGGCTTGGTGAGGTGAGGGGAAGGGCAGGATTGGAGACATTAACCGTGGGCTACACTGCTCGGTAACAAGCATTTCTCCACTTTACATTTGACTCACCAGTGGCTCTCAACGGGACCCCAAGAATAAGAATGGGATCATCAGGCATTGGCATGCTTTCCAAAAGTCTCTGAGAACTAGGTCACCCAAGAAATTGCAAGCCACCTTGGGGTAGCCCTTTGACTCATGCTCGACCTTGTGGGCTCTCTGATGGGAAAGACGACCCCAGCCTATCTCTCACCCCGTGTGGTTTGAACATGTCCTGTTCCTCAAGTTTGCTCATCCATAAAATAGGGATAATACTAGCACCTACCTTAGAGCCCCGGGAGATTGTCCCATGAGGATGACATGAGATGGGGACACGTGGAGGTCGCCCCAATGAAATGCACTGGAAATGTGAGCTCACACACACACATGCACACACACGTGCGCACGCACACACACACACCAAGTTCCTTCTCCAGCGCCCACTCCCATTCCCCTCAAGGGCAGGGCTGGGCTGAGTCACTGCTCAAGGCAGGTGCATGGGAGGGAGGCGACAGCAAATGCTTTGGGATGAAAGAACCCATCCCAGCTGTTCTCCAGCCCCACCATGCACTGTCCAACCAGCACACCTTTACACGTGCTGTGCCAGCCACCTGGAGTGCTCTTCGCCACCTGCCAAAGGCCTCCTGTGCCTTCAGGGCAACTGCAGTGACACTCATCCCGGACACCCCAGCTCCCCACCTCCACCCATCCTGCTCAGACCTTTGAGGATAGAATGGCTGATTGAATGACCACACTCAAGTTTGCATTTGAAGCCTCTCTCCTCCTTGTCCCCTGCCCCTAACTTGCAGGTCCTAGAATGGCTCCCGGGCTCTTCCTCTTCAGAGCTCTGCACTGGCAGTTTCACCAGCCAGGAAGGTCCTCCATCCTCTCTCCACTTGGAGATTCACTCCATCTAGGCCCAGGCCCAGTAGAGTTCCCTTTGAGACCACCCCCTTGACTGCCAAGCCTTTCAGACCCTGAGCTGTCTCCCTAACTGTGAGCGTTGGGGAGAGGCCAGGCCTGGGGCTGAGGCCTCTCGAGTTCCCTGGTATAGACCAACAAAAGTCAGTGTGTAAAAGATACCACAAAAGTGCACGAGTGAATGGGCCGGCCCGTGGCTCACTCAGTAGAGTGCGGTGCTAATAACACCAAGGCCCCGGGTTCGGATCCCACATAGGGATGGCCGGTTCGCTCACTGGCTGAGCGTGGTGCTGACAACACCAAGTCAAGGGTTAAGATCCCCTTACCGGTCATCCTTTAAAAAAAAAAAAGTGCACGAGTGAAGAGGTGGAGGGGTGAAGGTCAGAGGGCTGGGAGGTGCAGAATGGGCTGGTAGGCAGAGCGTGGGCTTTGGAAGCAGGTGACCTGGGCTTCCAGGTGGTGGGACCTTGGGCAGGAGCTGCCTACTCTATGGGCTTCAGTCTCCTCAGCTTATAAGGGGCACAAGCAAAGCAATCTCAGAGAAAAGAAGCAAAGTTGGGAGACACACAGAACCCGAATCTAGAGTTACTAAAAAGCACTACAGTTTTCAGGACTGTGTGGGACCCAGCAAGGAAACAGAGAGTGCAGATGGACCAAGGGGACTGACAGATCCAAGACACAGAGCAGAGGCTAGAAAAGACTGGCATGTGTGTGGTCAGCTGATTTTTTACATGTTAGGGGGGAAAAGTCTTCCCCACAGATGTTTCAGGAACAACTAGACAGACATATGGAAAGAAATTAACCTCAACCCCAACATCACGCCACATCCGAATATGAATTCAAAGTGGCCCATAGACTGAAACATAAAAGCTAAAGCCATGAGCCATCTAGAAGAAAATCTAGAAAATCTTTGCAAACTTAAGCCCAGCAACATCCCCTACACAAGGAGCACGAGAAATAAAAGACAAAACCTGAGCAACTGGACTTGGTCAAAATTCAAAACATCTGGGCCGAGCCAGTGGTGCACTCGGGAGAGTGCGGTGCTGGGAGTGCAGCAGCGCTCCCGCCGCAGGTTCGGATCCTATCTGATCAGAGGCCACCCCAGCTCACGGTGCCTGGAACAGTAGCAGTGGTGACTCTCACACAGGACTGGGCTAGAGGGTCTCCCCAGCCAGCCCAAGGTCCAGCTGGCTACCAGGACAACCTGTACCCGAGAGCTGGAAGTACGCAGGTTGGTGAGAAAAGAAGTGTGTCCTGTCTGGCAGTGTCCACAGCCCTCACCCCAGGTCTTCCAGCAAAGCCCCCTTCCACTCTAAGGACAGGCTAGATACCAGGGGGGCTGGACCCTGGGGATGAGGCATTGACTAAAGCCATGCCAACCTCGTGTCCCTAGAGTGACCCAGGTGGCCTGAAAAGCAGGGGCCTGGAAGGAGGCAGGGTGCAGAATTGTGTTCCAGGCCCACTGCCACCTTCTGCTGGGTGGTTGTGGCAGATGGCTTCCCCTCCTGGGTCTGTAAGGTGACAGGTGCAGGCAAGGTACCTGTGGTGGTCTCTTTTCAGGGGCCCCCTCCTTCCTGGAGGCTGGATGGAACAGCAGGAAGGTTCCCGGGTGCTGAGCTTCAGGAGGCCCAGTGATGGCTCTGCCCATCCTGGCTGCAATGGTGGGCAGCATTTATGGAAGAAGTTCCCACAGGCCCGGGTTGTAGGAAGAGCCAAGTGAGAGCTTTTATTTTTTTTCAGAGGAAGCTCCTGGAATCAACCTGACCCATCCCCATGGTCCCCAAAATCCTTCAGGGTCTGGCTCTGACTACCCACCATCATCAATCTTGAACACACTAGGCTTGATCCTGCCCCAGGGTCTTTTTACCAGCTGGTCAAAGCCCAGACACAGAGCTGCCAGCTTGCTACACAGGCAGACCCCTGTGGTCATTGAGGTCTCTGTGCACAGCATTCCCTTGGAGAGGTCTTCCTAGATCCCTAACCACATCCCCTCCCCTGGGTCCCATCTGTCTCTTTTGAGGCCCAGGGACCCTGTGTCTGCAGCCCATCTACTGAGCAAAGGAGTGATCCCACAGAATCCTTGTAGCAGCCTCAAATTAGGGCCACTGGGGTCCCCGACTTCAGGTGAGAAAACAGGCACAAGAAGCAAACACTGGAGTAACAGGTGGAGCTGGGCATTGACTCCCACAGAATCCAGCCAGGTCAGGGCTCGTAACCCGTTTCCACCTGCTACATCCCCCCACTTCTCTAGGCCTTGGTTTTCCCCTGTAACATGTGCCTGTGGTGCCTGGAGAGGAGACCCCAGCTCTAGCCTTGATTGGCTATTTCCTTGGTGTTATGTGACTCTGGATGTGTCACAGGCTGTCCCTGACTCAGCCCCAAGTGGCGATAGAAGGAGGTTCAGGAGCCAGTGGAGTGCAGGTGGGAGGCTTTATTTCACTGTGGGGGGAGGGGAGCTTGGACAGAGGGTAGCAGGCAGGGCAGGAGGGGCTGGCGCTTGGGCAGGGACTGGAAAGGGGAAGGGCTGCCCCCAGGCCTGTTGAGAAGGAGAAACTGAGGCCAGCCCTGGTTGAGACCTAACCCAGGGGGATGGGGGTGGAGATGGGGTAAGAACTGGGTCTGGAAGAATGAGGGCCTCCCTCTGGGCTGGACGTAGGGCCTTGGCCCCACCTCACTTTTCTCCTATCGGGCCTCAGTCCCTCCTGGGATGGGGTAAGAACTGGGTCTGGAAGAATGAGGGCCTCCCTCCGGGCTGGACGTAGGGCCTTGGCCCCACCTCACTTTTCTCCTATCGGGCCTCAGTCCCTCCTGCTCGCTGGGCTGCACAACCCCCAATCCTTGCTGCTTCTGACCTGGAGGAGGGGCTAGGCCATGGAGGGCAGTGGACAGGGAGCCTGGGGGAGGTTACAGAGCGTGGGATGGGGTCCACGGTGTGCGGAGTGGGTGGCGGCCACCTGGGCAATCAGTTCCTGGCAGCGATGACCACAGAGAGAGCCACACCCCCCAAGGCGACGGCAGTCGCCCCAAACAGCCACTTCCATGGGATAGACTGTGGACAAAGGGGAGGGGAAAGACAGCTGGAGGGTGGTCAAGACTGGCTTCTTGGGTCTCTTCTCCCAACACAGCCCAAGCAGGCCTTCCGGCAAATCACTGCCTGATCATGCCTTTCCTGCCTACGGACAAACTCCTACTCTGCACCAAAACCCAAACGAAATGTCCTCTTCCAGGACAACTCCCCTTCTCCCTTGAATGAGCTTCCACTCCCTACCCTGAGCCCTCCACTTTGAGTTCCACCTCTGCCCCAGCCCTGGTCGCACAGGGTTGGGGCCTCTCTGTGTTCCCAGCATCACCCAAAACAGCCCAGTTGCTGGGGACATCAGTGTTAGAAAATCCCTCTACCTGGCACACCCTGCCCATAGCCCCTGCCCCCCACCCCGGTATCCCCTCTGTGCCTGCCAGCCCCAGCTCACCCAGGCACCCTTGCCAGGACACTTGGCAGGCAGCCGGCTGGGGTTGCCCAGCATTTTCCGGTACAGGGCAGTCTCCGTGCTCCGCTGAGCTGCATGCTTCTTCACCAGCTTTGAGAGCTCTGCATGGATCGTCTGCGGGAGGTGGGTGGGAAGTGTGCTGAGCACAGGCGGTGGTGGGATGTGCCTGTCATCAGTGGAGCTCTGCCCTTCTGGGACCATGGGTTGCTTGGGTGCCAGGACACGGGGGTTCCATCTGCCCCTCTCTGAGCTTAATCAAAGCAGGGGCTGCCATGGCGCACTCAGTTAGAGTGCACAGTGTTACACCACCAAGGTCAAGGGTTTGGATACTGGCCAGCCGCAGGGGGTAAAAAAAGAAAAAAAGTGGGGCTGCCATCCCCACCCCCATAGGGAGCTGGTAGATGGGGCAGAGTACAAGCTGGCTGGGAGAGAGGAAGGTTCTGGGAGAAAGGCTGAGGACACTGGCATTGGCCAGGCTGGTGGTACCCTTGGCCTCTGGGCCTGCTGGAGGAGTGAGCCGAGACTGCCTATGAGGGAGTCACAGGGTTTTTTAGCAAACTGCATACCCCCCGCCATGGCCCAGACGAGACCACCACAGAAAGAACCACAGCAAGAAAGACCTGGGGCAGACCACAGGAGGGACTTCCCAGATGGGCCAGCAGGGCAAGTCCCCTCACCTTGTTGGAAGGTTCCAGCTTCAGGGCTGCCCTCAGGATGGGGATGGCCTCACTGTACTCGCCTTGCTGAGCCAGCACCTGTGGGGGAGGGAGTGGCATCACTATGGACCCACACTGGGCCTCACTCTCCTTAAGAAACCCAGCCCTGCCAAGTTCCTGGCCACCCTGACAAGTCCTAAATCAATCTCCAGCAACGGCCCCAGGGGTCCAGCCACCCCCATGCTGCTCCCCTAAGCCCTCAGACTCCATTATGTGCCATGCATGGCTTGGCATTATTCCCACAACCTGCTCTTTCCCCTGTGTGTCTGTCTCAGCCTAGGCCAGAGACCTGGGCACTGGCCTCACCTCCTCCTCACCTTACCACCTCAGCTGCCTGGCTCAACAGGAGCCAGATGGACATTTCCAAAGCTTTGGCCACAGCAAATGATTCAGGGCCAGGCACGTAACCAAAAGAACCAATAAGATCCAGCCTGAACTGCACTGGGGCAGCCAAAAGAACCAATAAGATCCAGCCTGAACTGCACTGCTAAGTGGGGAAGATGGAAGCATGAATCTTTTGGGAGCAGGGGAAGGGGGCGAGAAGTGTCACGGTCACCCTGGGAGAAAAAAACTGCATGCTAAGTGGGGAAGATGGAAGCATGAATCTTTGGGAGCAGGGGAAGGGGGCGAGAAGTGTCACGGTCACCCTGGGAGAAAAAAACTGCATGAGAGGAGAGACTCCAGCAGAGGGACACCGCATCCCCACAACACTGTGAGTGCCTGGGTCCAGCCTTGCCTGAAGCCAGCAATTCCAGACTTGGCAGTCCCATGAGCTGTCAATCCCTGCTCTTTGCTTGAACCTATCTGAGTGGGTTTCTGTCACCTTCAACCAGCAGATCCAAACATGTATGAGGCTACACAAGAAGACACTCCTGCTGTCCCCAGGATTATAAACTCTTCAAAATCACGGACAGCATCTTTTCCCCTACTTTTCTCTGCAGAAGTCAGTACACAATAGGTGCTTAATAAATGCCAGCTGGGGGGAGCCCCTGCTCAAGCCTCTCACAAACACACCAGGTGACCCCAGAGTCTGCACCTTGGTTCCTTTGCTTACTGTCAATAAGTGCAGAGAAGCCCCAACCCCACCCCACGCCCTGCCCAGGGTTGGTGTGAGCATGAACAGAGAGGTAGGAGAAAGCAGTTAAGATCGAGTCTGTGCAGGCTGGATTCACCCCGACATTCCACTAGGACTTTTACTGAGCACCTACTGTGTGCCTGGCCCTGTCTGCAAGGTTGGAGATGCAGCGGTGAGCAAGACATACCAAATCCCTGCCTTCCAGTAAGGAAACAGACAAGAAACATGTCACCTCCATGTGCTGCCTGTCAGATGGCAACACAGGAAACAAGACAGGGTGGGGAGAGACAAAACCTCCCGAGAAGGTGATTTCAGAGCAAAGACCTGAATGAGGCCAGGAACCTGTGCAGATACCTGGAGTATGAACAGCTCAGGCAGAGAGCACAGCCTGAGCAAAGATCTGAAGTGGAAGCTCACCTGACCTGGACAGCAAGGAGGTAGAAGGGGGACAACCAGGTGGCTCAAGGCCCCAAGGGCTGTGCTAAGACTTGGCTTTTACTCTGAGGTAGATGGGAGCCAAGGAGGGTTATATGCGAGGAGCAGTCACTGGGCCAGAGGCAGGAAACCCATGACTCAGGGTTGGCTCTGGCTTCAACCAATGGATGGCTGTGACCCATGCCACACCCCTGTGCCTGTCTGGGTCTCAGTTTCTCCACCTGTCCCCAAGAGAGCTCAGCTGGCTGATACCTATGCATTCCTCAAATCCAGGTTTGAGGACCAACCCTGGTGCCCTGGGCTGGGTAACCTGGCCTGGCGCCCTGGCGAAGGGAGCTGGTTGGCGCACCCGAGGCCCACCTTGCCCTTGCGGAAAAGCGCCTTGATGTTGTCGGGCTGGTGCTCCAGCACAAGGCTGCATGAGCGCAGTGCTGCGCGGTAGTGGTCCAGCTTCAGCTGCGAGGCCGCCAGGTTGTTCAGACACTTCACCTTCAGCTGCAGGAGCTGCTCCTCCTCCTCAAATGTCATGTCCACTGTGCAGGGTACAGCACTCAGCCGCAGTGGCCATTACCACACAGCCACCCCACCCCCACCCCTGCCTCTGCAGAGGGCCCACTACCTTCTACCCAGAGGACCTCAGGCCTCTCTGGCCTCAGTCTCCCCATCTCTAACATGGGACCAAGAGCCACACCTCCCCCAGGGCACTCGCAAGGGGTCTACAAAATGGAGCCTTAACAAAGCAAAGCAAGGACTTAATACATGGGGTGTGAGATGGACATCGTCTGTGGTCACCCACGTCCTGACACCTACCTGTGTTCCATAAGATTCTACTGGTTTGAAATATACCACAAGTCTGAAGCAAACTCTAGCCTGAAGGTTAGGGACAGGAGGTATCTACCCATACAATGGAATATTCTAGAGTATTCTGAGTTTGCAGACCCCTGTGGCTTGAGGTGTCCACATTAAGAGTTGACACCTTTGTAGGAGAGCTGGCAGTCACCTTTGGCGCTAGAGGTGATGGCCTTGATGGCGAGGTCGTAGGAGTTGGCAGCTAACACAAAGTCAGCTCGCTGGTAGTGGGCGTTGCCACACTCCCGCTTCCGGTTGGCCAGAGCCACACGCTCCTGTCCCGTGAGCATTTCCAGGTCAGGCCCATCCACAGCCGTCTTCAGGGTCACTTCCAGGCACAGGGCCGCATGCGGGGGGATGTATGGGCTCCTACTGGGGGGGTGGGGTGGGCAGGGGCAGCATTCAGACCCAGTGGCCCCCAAGCCTTCATCCCAGACCCACTGGGTTGGCTGGGGAGCAGGCGGGGAAGGGCTCAAGTCCTGAATCTGACCCCACTGTCACCTGCTCCTTGTAAAACTCAAGAGAGGTAACTCTTGCCGCCCTTCAACTGGGTGACATAGCAACGGAGATCCCCTCCCTGAGCCTCAGTTTCTTCTTCTATAAAATGGGCAGGGAAATGAGGCAAGTTGAGTGGATGCCTGCCTGCTCTACCCCCTCATCCCCACCGGGGCCCCTAGGGCAGTTGACTCTCACCTGCCCTGGGGTCCATAGCAGTATTTGGAGTCAGCGGTGACCATGGCTGTCTCCCCCACATCCATGAGCGGGACGCTGAGATCCAGAGCCTGGGGTGCGCAGGGGCAACTGGATGTCAGGTGGGCCCAGGCCCAGCAAGGCCCCAGCCCCCGCCTCACCCCATCCCATCCCACCCTGGCCCCCACCTGGATGACGTCGCAGTCACCCAGAGTGAACACCAGCTCCGGCTCCTCCTGCACCCGTGTGCCGTTCTCCAGCGACATCTGCAGCTGCACGGTGATCACCTGGCCCTTGGCTGGGCGGCTTGAGCCAGGTGGGCCTGGGACCAGTGTCTTCTTCCTCAGTAGCCCATTCCCTGCCAGGGGCCAGGGACACGCAGCCTGTCATCCAGCAGCTCAGACGGGCACCCACTCCGCTGAACGCCCTCTCCCAGCTCTGCCCACTCGCTATCCTGGAGTGGGGTGGGCCCACACTGGGGCACAAGCTAAACATCCAGTGGCCACTCTGCCACCAACTGGGCAGGGGACTCCACACTACTGGACACTGGGCACCACAGGACAGATTTGGGGGTAAGGATGGGGACACTAGGACCCGGCTCAGAAAACAATGGCTGCTTTGATTGTTGTCTTATGAAAACCGAGGCGGGGGCTGGCCGGTTAGCTCAGCTGGTTATGGCATGATGTTATAACCCCATGGTTCAGGGTTCAGATCCCTGTATTGGCCAGCTGCCAAAATAATAAAATTAAAAGAAAAAAAGAAAACCAAGGCTCAGCAAGGTCCTGCCCAGTGCAGTCAGAGAGACAGAGAGGCCCAGAGCCAGACTCAGGAGCAGCCCCTACCCTCAGTTCAAATCCCAGCTCTCAGGGCAGGCCCATGACTCACTTGGGAGAGTGTGGTGCTGATAACACCAAGGCCACGGGTTCGGATCCCTATATAGGCATGGCTGGTTAGCTCACTTGGGAGAACGTGGTGCTGACAACACCAAGTCAAGAGTTAAGATCCCAGGGCCGGCCCTGTGGCTCACTCGGGAGAGTGCGGCGCTGGGAGCACAGTGGTGCTCCCACCGCGGGTTCGGATCCTATATAGGGATGGCCAGTGCGCTCACTGGCTGAGCGCAGTACGGGCAACACCACACCAAGGATTGCGATCCCCTTACCGGTCACAAAAAAAAAAAAAAAAGAGTTAAGATCCCCTTTCTGGTCATCTTTTTTTTTTTAAAAAAAGGGCCGACCCCGTGGCTCACTCAGGAGAGTGCGGCGTTGCCGCCGTGGGTTCGGATCCTATATAGGGTATATAGGGATGTCCAGTGTGCTCACTGGCTGAGCGCGGTGTGGGCGACACCAAGCCAAGGGTTGCAATCCCCTTACCGGTCACAAAAAAAAAAAAAAAAAAAAAAAAAAACCCC